GTGTTATATGTACATACACATATATATTTTATATTTTATACACACACATTAAGTGAACCGAATGCCATCCCCATAACTTTTTATTTTATTTGGAGGAAAAGGGGCAGGGATTTAGAAAAAATACTCTATAGCTTTGAGCCTACCCCAGGCACAGCCAAATTTGCTTATATAACCCTAGGTACAGCCAAATCAGATTATATATACTTAGGTACAGCCAAAGTATATATAATCTGATTTGGCTGTACCTAGTAATTAATTTTTTTCAATATTTTTTTATTTTTACTTTTGCAAAAATGAAAACTGAATTACATAAATTTAAACAGATTATTAAATAAAATTCATTTTTAATAATTAAAAAACCATCTATTTTGATAAAATCATATCAGTTTCATTTTTAGAAATAATGTTTTTGTACAAAATAATTTTTTTTTTTTTTGTCAGATGTAAAGACTTTGACTTGAAATATTTGGACGCTTCTATGACACAATTTTCACAAAATACACTCTTTGATTTACTAATAGTAAGTTTGCGGTTTTATTTTTATTCTCGAATGTTTTATGTTGTTGTATTTTGTCTTCTTTTTACTTTTTTTGCAGAAATGTGTTTCACTTGTGAACTTATCACTTGAGGGGTGCAAAGCTGGGGTGTTGGAAGTTGCGTACGTTGATTAAATGTAATTAAATTCTTTTCTCTTGAAAAAAGATTTTGAAAGAATTTATTTGGATGAAAATTGAACAAATAAATATTAAATTTAGAGCGATTTCTAATAACAAAAGACTTCAGGTTTTGAATTTATCAATGGCAGTTGGAGTAACGCTTTCATCTATCAATATTTTAACCAAACAATGCAGAAGGTTTTTTTTTTATATTTTTTATTTATTTATCTATTTGAGCTTTAATAAGTTATTTATGCGTTCTTTTATAAAGTATTTTGTTACATAAACTTTTTTTTTAATTTTAGATTAGAATCTTTGAATTTAGCTTGGACAAATCAAACAAGAGATTGTATTCGTTTTGTGTGTTTTTTTGTGAAGTTTTTTTATTTTTATATTTTAATTTATGTACTTATGTTAAGACAAAGTGATACTACGCAAAGTGATACTACACAAAGTGATACTACACAAAGTGATACAACGCTAAGTGATACTACACAAGGAATAAAAGTTATAGTGATACATATTAAAAATAAGTTGATTAAAAAAGGTGTTTCCAATTTACTGCACCTTTCTAAAAAATAAATAGAAGAATTTGTGTTAAAGTTGTTTCAATGAAATACAACAGATTACTTTTTACTTTGGTTTTCAAAGTTATCTTTTTCCGGTTATATCCAGAATTTTAGATGTTTCTGTTAATTTTAGGTTTTTTTTAAAATTCCAAAAAATTTTTTTGAAATACAAATTGAAATATTTTTAATAGTCATCGAATGACTGAAACATGAAATAACAAAAGAATGTATGATAAATAAACCATTGTAGATATTTATATAAAGAATGAACAATAAACCACTGTAGATATTTATAAGCCTTTAATCACTACATACTAGTTGTGACTTTAAAATATACATGGCCGAAATATAACATCATTATTCAGTGTTCAGTATGATGGTATAATATAGAATATTAAAATTGACAAATGATAAACAAAAATAGGGTTGAGTAAGGTAAAAAAAAAATAGTTTCGGGTGGGATAAGATACCCCTTAAACAATTTAAATTAAAAAACTTAAATTATGAAGCGGAATTTGTTCTTAACTTTTTTCATATGCTCTTTTGAGCAAGAGAACACTTCGCTATAAACTATTATGGTAAAATGCACAAAATCATAGCACAATCGCAAAATCATTTAATTTTGATAATTTATTTTGATATTTAACAAACATTTTTGTAATTGTGTTGAATACACTTATAAGAAAGATTGTACTAAGTTTATTTAGGAGAAAATTATAACCCAATTAATGTTTTTTATATCTTTTCATGCATATAGAAATACCAATATTTATGTTGTAAAGTGTAGCAAATGTAAATCAGATGAAAAAAGTATCACGCTAAATGTCGTCATTTTGACTGGGACTTTAAATCTTTGTTTTTTTTTTTATCAACGCCTAAAAACGTGCATTGTTCGACCTGCTCTAGCAGCCTAGCCTGAATTTTAATTTTTTCTCTTTAAGAATATAGATTTGACTAAATAATTGTTTAAATTTTTTAATATGTATCTTAGTACTGATTTTTAGTTATTGATTATTTTTAGCTTTGTCGCTTATCTGAATTAAAAGAACTTAACCTTAGTGGTTTGAGGGGCGGTATCAACAGAAAAGGTCTGCATAGCTTTTATTTGTTGGTAAATCTATTATTATTATTATTTTTTTTTTTTATTAGTTACATTTAAAAACAATTTTTTTTTTTATATAAATAGCAATGGAATGTTTGGTTATGGCTTGTAAAAAGCTAAGAGCTCTTGATCTGAGGTATTTTGTTGTTTTTTTTTAAGTCCGGGAAGATTAT